GGGCTGGTGAGATGGCTCAGTGGTCTAAAGCACCTACTTACAACAAGCTTAGCAAAGCACAGGGACTGCGGTTCAATCCCCCAGCACCACATGCCAGCCAGCCCCGCCCCCTGGTGGGTTGAGCTGGCCACACACACACACAAATAAATTAATTAATTAAAAAAAAATAAATTGGTCCACTACTCACCTAAGGATGGGTGCATTTTAAACACTTTCTGACACTTTCTAGAGATGTTAATTTATGAGATTTTTTTTTTGGGGGGGCTCTTGAATAGGACTTTGTCTGCAGAAATGGGTTTAATTTCATTAGAGCACCATTTTTATGTATTAGACTTTTTTTGTTTTTCTCTTTTAAAGAATGAAAATAGCCATACAGGCTTGCCTGGCAAGTGCTAGGCCCTGGGTTCCATTCCTGGTACCAAACAAACAAAAAATAAAAAATAGGAAAAAAATATTAGAAACTATACATAATTTCACTAAACAAAATAATAGAAATTCAACAATGGTTATTATACTGCATATTGTTGTCTTCAAATTAGTTGTTCAGATTACCAGATATAAGCATGCAGAATTGGTAACAACAAAAAAAGTCAAAAAAGTTTAAGCCTTAAGTGTCCCTTTCAATAGACCAGTAGAAACCAGTAATACAGTTATCCAAGCTATCTTGTGTATATACATGTATATTTCCCCTTCCTTCTTTTCCTCATCCCAGTTGTTTATTCCCTTTGAACAGATTCTCTCACAGTATCTATGTATCTATTGTAGTGTTCAGGTTTTATTTATTCTTCCAGGTTCTTATACTAGGGAAACAATATGATGTCTACATACCCAGGTTTGAATTACTTCACTTATAAATACGGTCTCTAGTTGTATCCAATTACCTATAAAAGCCTCAACTTTATCTTTTTTAGAGTTGAGTAATATTCCATTGTATAATAATACCATTTTTTTTAATCCATTCCTCAGTTGCTGGGCATTTAGGTTGTTTCCAAGATTTAGCCCTGGCAAACTGTGCTGTTATAAACATGGGTGCACATATATCATTGTGGTATTGTTCTCAGTTCTTCTGGAAAAATACCTAGGAAGGGAATATCTGGATTGAATGGACCTGTAATCCTAGGTTTTTGAGGAATCTCCCCATTGACTTCTCTCTTCTCTTCCCCCTACCCCCGGTAAGGGTCTACCTATGCAGCTTGGACTCCTACTGATCTTCCTGTCTCAGCCTCCCCAGCACTGGGATTCACAGGTATGTGCCACCATGCCTGGTTTTGGTGGCCATCTTGGCGCCCCGGGCCAGCAGGGCATATGGTACTGGAGATCGAATCCAGATTCTTGCACTTTCCACACAGGTGCTTAGACCACTGAGCTATCTCCTCAGCCCTCCACGTTGATTTTCACAGTGGTTGTACCAGTCTACACTCCCACTAACAGTGGAGAAGAGTTCCTTTTTCCCCATAGCTTCTCCAGCATTTGTTATTGGTTGACTTTTTTTTTTTTATTTTAGTACAGGGTCTTCAGGGTCTCACTATGTAGATCAGACTCATAGTGATCCTCCTGTTTTCAGCCTCCCAAGCACTGAGATTACAGGAGCATGCCACCACACTCAGTCTCAATCTCCATCTCAGTGCACCCTGCAGGTGGGGCTAGCACGGCAGGCCGGGGATCAAACTCCCAACCCCTGTGTCTGCCTAAGCAGGCACCTTAATTGGTTGACTTCTTGATGACAGTCATTCCTTCTGGGGTGAGATGGAATCTCAGTGTTGTTTTAATTTGCATTTCTCAAATGACCAATGATGTTGAACATTGCTTTATATATTTATTTGCCATTTATATTTCTTCATCTGAGAAGTGTGCATTCATCTCAGATGTCCGGTTTTGGAATGGGTCTTTGAACTTTGGGGGCCTGATTTTAAAAAATTCTCTATATGTAGAACACCATTTTTAAAAAGCCAGTTATTTTCTCTACCTTTCCTTGAAGGTCACAAGAAAGTGCGATGGCTCATATCTAGACATCCCTGCAAAGCCTCATAGGGTCCTAGGTATTGGGAACTGCAGAAGCTGGAAAATCAGTCAAAGGTGTATAGGCGGGACTAGGCCTCTGTGCCTAAAGCAAGTTACTTCAGTCCTGAGATAAGCATCCTGACTGGTTAATGTCAGCTACTAGTCACTAGACAACCTTGTGTCATGTGTTACTAACTTTGCAAAGGTATAAATAAATGTAGGTTTTATTGTGCTGGTGGGTTCGTCTTGCCTACCAGGCAGACCTGCTACCACCTAGCCCAGCTTTTGTCTTATCTTTTTCTCATTCCTGCCGCTGTTTCTCACCAGGTAGAACGGATCTGACTGAGACCAACAGATCTCTGCACCTAGGTAGGTCTTTTAGGAGGTAGGTGGATCTAGAGCCTGATACTGGGATCAAGGATGTGATGCTGGGACTGATTCGGGTGATTTTAGGGTTAAGGCTGCCCCACCCTGGGTATGAGTGCCACCTGCTCTAAGGGTGGGGCCCTGGGTAGGATATAACAGACTGAAAGAGATCTGTTGCTTGCCACTTGTCACTGCTGCTTTGGTTTTTCACTGCTTTGCAATGTACCTCTGCCATGCCACCCTGCCTTGGAGCCACCCAACTGTGGGCTGAAACCTCTACCAACTGGGAGCCAATAAACCTTTTCTCCTCTAAATTTGGGTTTTGGGTATTTTGTGTCAACAAAGAGAAAAGTAACTAAGAATAAAAGTGAGCTTTAAAAAACCTAGTGGTTATGTTGAGCTGTAGGGGACTCAGGTCAACAATTTCTGACATTGCCAGTCAAGTGGAAGACCCAATACTATTATGGGCTACTGGACTCTTTTAGAATATTTTGCTGAGTTTACACACCTATAATATTCAAATAACAGAACTTAACAAAAAAAGGGGATACAGATGAATGTTCATTTTGTATCTGTGTATTCAAAGCAGTTAGGATAGCTATATAGTTACATTCTCTTAATGAATAGAGTGACTGGTTCTAATGGTGTTTGTAAATAGGATATCATGTCCACATCTTGCACAGCAAATAACCACTAGGAAGAATGTATGCAATGTGTTAATTATTGAAACTGTCCTACCAATTTGATTTGAAACTGTCTCATTGCTATTTATCAATAAAATTATAAAATAATTAAAAAACCATCAAGAAATAATAAAAATAAAAATAAAAAACCTAGTGGTGGGGCTGCGGAGATGGCTCAGTAGAGTAAGTGCTTCCCTGGCAAAGTGCAAGGGCCTGAGTT